GAGGAGCTTGTCGGTGGACGCGGCGTTTTTCGAGGGGCTAGGGCTAGGGTTTCAGCAGGGGGGCGGGGGCGGAGGAGGGAGGCATAAGAGGAGCGGGTCGATGGATGGGTCGACGACGAGCTCGATGTTTGACGGGGATTCGTCGACGGCGACGAGTTCGGATTACGCGAAGAAGGCGATGGCGGCCGATAAGCTTGCTGAGCTTGCGTTGATTGATCCCAAGAGAGCCAGAAGGTGAGATCTTCTTCTGATTATTAGTAGGAATTGGGGGTTTTGTTGAGACTTGTTGCTCATCTTTGGTGAAATTTTGGTCTTTTCCTGTTCCCGTGTGAGTTGCTAAAAATGGGGTTGTATGATTCTAGTAAAGAACTAATTCTAGTGTATAATAGTTTAATAACGACGGAGCTTGGGAGATAATGAGTTACTTTGGCTAAATTTATTGAGACTTTTGATTATTTTGGGCGAGGTTTTCGAAATTAGGTCTTTGATTCCAAAGGATAAAGCTATTTTGGTATGCTTAGTACTCAATGAGCTTGAGATGTAGGCAATGAATGTCAAAGGGGATTTTTTTTTTATTTATTGAGTTGAATGGTGGGATATTTAGACGAAAATTTTATGAATTATTTTGTTATGTGATCTGTGGGTTTGTTTGGCTTTGTGTTGTAGGATTCTTGCAAATAGGCAATCTGCAGCTCGATCGAAGGAGAGGAAGATTCGATACACCAGTGAACTCGAACGAAAAGTGCAGACTTTGCAGACGGAGGCTACTACTCTCTCAGCACAGCTTACTCTGTTGCAGGTTAAGGACTGTTTGTTGAAAATTTCAAGTCACCTTAGATTTGGTTTCGAGCTTTTAACGTGTTCATTTCTTTTGAATCATTGAATCTCTTGATGCGGTTCGTATAATCCCTTGTTAATCTTATGATTTTTTTTTCTTTCCTGCTCTAAATCCCTATGTTCTCCTTATACTACAGAGGGACACTACCGGCTTGACTGCTGAGAACAGGGAACTGAAACTGCGGCTGCAAGCTATGGAGCAACAGGCTCATCTTCGTGAGGGTATGCCAGCGATTTAATATTATCACACACTCTCATACTTGAACTCGATTTCACCCAATGACCTTGGGAAACTGGATGCTAGAAACCGCCAATACGTAATTGTATTTAAATTTGTGTATTGATGATATGCACAATTTCTATTGGCTTCATCTGCAAATCGTATACAGAAGTTTCTCATACATCAAGCAAAAATAGCCACTAAAAGACTTAAGTTAGCATAGGTGAATCCCTTTGATCCTTAATGAAACAAGCGCACAATTCCTGGCTAAGTTAACAAATTGATGCAGCCAATACTGATACACCTTATGTGATCTCTGTTGAGATACATACATGCGCACATACAAGCATATGTGATGATACAGGTCTCATGTTTTCTCTACAGCTCTCAACGATGCCTTGCGAGAGGAAGTTCAGCGTCTCAAGATAGCAACAGGGCAGATTCCTACAATCAATGGCAATGCCTTCAACAGAGGTGGCTTCCAACAATCCGCCTCCTCATTTTTCTCTCGACCGCAGCAGCTCCCCAACCCGAGCGCACATCAGGCTCAGCAGCAGCGCCGCTCATCTCCATCTCAAACTCCCTCCAACAGCCGACAATCTCTCAGCGATCAGTCTCGAAGCGATTCTATGGATTATCTGTGAATGGTTTGATTGCTGTAATCATCTTTAGGCTAGATTTTTGTTCATTATGAAAAGCATATTTCAAAATTTAAGTATGCATGATAGGTGATTCAGGGTACACAGCCCAATGTATGTTAGAAAGATGAAGCTATTTGTATAATTATTATTTGATTATATATTGTGTAGTACCATCTCAAGAACTGGAGTATGATGAAAGTAAGAATTATCATGTTGCAAGATTCTTTCGTATATATAACGTACTCAGCTCTGTATACTTTGAAAGTAATTCTCAGTAGACATTTCCAGGTAATTTACGTACCTTAAATATACAGAAATGCAAAACAAGTACCATAATCTAGGACTGCTGCGTTTAACATGAAGAGTATAATATGATTTTGTTGAATACTTATTTATCACAACTACTATGTCAATACGTGAGTTTGCACGCGATGCATGATAAATTTATAGATTAACATATATTATTAACTTAGTTTTTAATGTTAAATTTATAATTTAAACAATAAGTTCTAGGAATTATCTCAAAACATCAAAGCTTTAGGGATCCACTCTAATATGCTATCAACATAAATTCCCTATAAAGAAAATGACTACCAAAGAGATTGAATATCCTTATGGACCAAACTCTGGACTTTTTACGTGGTGGTTTGCTTTAGATTATAAATTTAATGATATTTCTCTATTCTTCTAAACAAAGAACTTGAAGAAAATATTGGCCAAACATTTCTCATATTTAACTTAGCCAAGTCAAAAAATTAGGTCTTTCTACATGCATAAAGAGGCCTTTGCATAATATAATCTTGGTTAGTTGTTCTAAAACATTATCCTCCATCATATTATTGCATACGCCTAACTATATTTTTTGAACCGAATAGCAATTACGTAAAACAAAATTAAGAATAAGCGCTTAACCCAAAATGCACTTTCATGAGAGCCCAAAAGTCCTCTCAAGATAACTAACACGATAATTAGTGCTTAACCAAAAACATAATTTCAAGAAAACTTAACAGTCATTAGAACCACACAAACTGTAATACATATAGTTATTAGAGAGCATTAAAATTGAGAGTATAAAAGGATCTCAAAAGTTTTAATATAGCAATCCTCTTTAACAATAGTAGTAGTAGTAGTGTGTATGTGTGTATATCTTATGGTATGTGCATTAGTGCACATAAATATACCTACTACAGCCTGGTGTATATTTACAGAAAAGCCAAGAGATCCTATCCAATTGCAGGCTTTAAAGATATACCAATATTTTATATAGACGATCGGTTTAAGGCATGCAATTATTCTCCTACCAAAAGAGTCCAACGAAATAAATAGGCAAACACAACATATTACAAGATCAACCTACAACACGAAGCAAACAGAAGCTGTCGATATTTGCTCCATCACTACTGCTTGTGAAGAGCACAGAAACAGTTGTGCTCCCCTATATCCCGCGCAACGCAAGGAGCTTGAACGTCAGCTTCCCGGTACCAGGCCAGTCTTTTCTCCGTCAACTCGCTCACAAAATCATTCAACTTGTCGATAGTAACACTCGGCATCACAACAACATGAGCTATGTTCCCCTCACAAGCAAGCTGCCACCTTCGGATAAATTCTTCGTCCTTAGGCCTCTCAAACACCACGGTGCTGCTGAGCTCATTGAGCATTGCACCGATTCCTGCAGATCTAAGCTGGTCTTTTAAGTAATGGGCGTTTCTTAAGCACTTTTGGACTTCTTTCTGAAACCCTCGGTAGCCTTTTCGGTTCAGGGTGTACCAGAGGAATAACGGGGCATGACCGTTTCGGCTTCCCATGATTGTGGCATCACGAGAAGCAAGGTATTCTACGTTGCTAGAAAGGGTGTTTATGTGCTTTAATCTTGTTATTTGCACTCCACAAGGCATAGGGCATCCAACGAACTTGTGGCCAGATACACTTACGCTTCCGATAGGCTTTTTGAATGAAACCTTTGGTGCCTGCACAGCAGCAGCAAGAAGACATCAACCTTGCGTATAAATTCCGCAGAACTACCGTCTACTTTGAGGGATTTTGCATAAAAGGTACTTTTTATTGGAGAGAACTATCAATTTTCAAAACCGCAGGAAAAGCAATATCATGAATTATGAACAATTGGAATTTGGACCGTTGATAATGAAATGGTCATAACGGCTTGTACAAAAGGTGTCAACTACCGACCATTGAAAATAAGGGAGAGATGGAAATATAGAATATGTATGGAAAATGATTTAAGGACCCAAAATATGGGACCAAGGGAGGGGACAGGTGATGTGTCCCCTCCCTATTGTATAATGAGTTGGCATTGCCAACTCATTATGCAATAGGGAGGGGACACCTCACATGTCCCCTCCCTTGATCCCATATTTTGGGTCCCCGTAGCAGCACTCAATATGTATTAGGTACGTAAAGACAAAATTTTCCAAAACATGCCACATGTGCACATGGCAACATGTCTTAACTGCCTTCAGACATGACGAGCATGAATGTTTTCTCCAAGAAAAAAGTAAGGCAGCTTCGTGCAAAAAACCACCCAGAATTCATGTAAAATTTGCCCTAAAATTCCAAATGTCCGAGGAATGCATACAGAATATATGGATAAGTGAATCAAAATGAATGCAGTGAAAAAGAAAGTCTAAATCAGATGAGATAACGGTAAGAAGCCAGTTTGACCAAAGCAAGTGATAAATATGATAATAACAAAACCATACCCGTTTGACGAAAGGCATCATAAGCCCAAACAGAGCACCATCACAGTGAATGTAAAACCGATCCTTAAATCCATTCTTCTCGAGAGTCTCTATAACCATATCAAGATCATCAACCGCGCCCTTCACCGTTGTTCCTGTAGTTAATTGTAAGGTTAATGAAGAAATAAATAGGACAAATGATATAATTGGACAAAGACATGGTGTATGGCTCACCAATATTGACGTTTATAATGGCTGGTTTTTCCTTATTCAAGAGGAGTTTGCTTCCAAAGTCGGCACAATCAATCTCACCAGACATCAAAGTACCAACCTTAACACAGTCCATTCTATACATTCTTGCTGCTTTAAAAACAGAATAATGGGACTCCTTAGAGGCATATAAAATACCATCTGGGAAAACCTCTCTCCTGCACAAGGATTAGCAAAGATAGATGATTATCAAAGACATGAAATGAAAATGGCATGCATAAATTCATTACAGTTCAAAACTTAAAGAGTTTTATCATCTCTTTAAGAAGACAGATCAAAGAAAAACAAGCTTACTTACCCAACAAGAATACCATGCAAATTTCCTTCTGTACCACAATTAGTTATATAACCCCAATATTCATTCCTCTCCAATTCCCAGAGGCGAGCAAACCAATCTAAAACCCCTACTTCAAACTGCCTGGAATGGACACCATAGTTGCTCTCAATGAAGGGATCACCGAGATTGTTGATCGAGAAATGTTGCAACTGGCCCAGAGCACCATAATCAAAATCCAAATTGTATGGGTAACCTACAATTTGAGCAAGAAAATTCATATCAATATATAAAACATGAATGATATAATGTAATGCACCATTGAGAATTTTCATTGAAATTATTGGTGCCCACATAAAGAAGACATACTATATGCTCCCAAGTGCTTGCAGATTGACATTAAAAAAAGTAAAGCAAAAAACTTCTTAATATGTTGCAGAAATGACAAGTCAATAAGTTTGGACCACATGGACGATGACATCTTTGTTGAAAACAGCGGATGATACATCTTTTGCCGGCTTGAATTTATTTGAACAGGAAGACAAAAATCAATTGCATAGAAATCAATACAGCATGAATATGCAACTATAAAAGGTAAATGAAGAGTGCTTAATATCATCATGTCACTACGAAAGCAGGCCTGGGACCTAATGCTGTTAATTTCTTGAGTTTAAGATGGTCTAAGCCGGTAACAATGTCTACTGCATCTTACTGTAATTTCAAAATGTCTCTTGAATGCTGAAAACTTGGTATCGAAGTCCATGGTTGCAATCCAAGCATCACAACATGATTTGGCAAGTGGTGCATGTAATTTAACTGTGACGGTTGGCCAAACTATGTCACGCTATGATCCAAACACGAGGCGAGAACATAATTACGATAATCAAGAATAAGAACACTTTGTGACAGTTGAAAATAATAGAGTACATGTTACGATGGAGATTCTTCAGTTAATATCCAATAACTCATTAAAAGATCATTAGATGATTAGAGCTAAAAAAAGAAAAGGGGTGCCAAGAATTAAGAGCCAGACCTACAAACTAAAGTCGGAAGGCTAGTAATTAATGTGCAACTAAGATCTATAATATGATTGGTTGATCTATTGATCTAAAGTAGTCTAAGCTGCATTATGAATGCAGCACGTGGTTGTTATTTGAATACTTACAATTTCAATTTTTATTTTTATTTTTATTTTTATGTGCCACACATTGAACCCCGTCAATACTTCTTGGACACTCAAACTGTGCTTTTAAGTAACAAAAATATGACAAACTCAAAGTTCTTATAATCTCAGAGGTCCCATACTAATACTAAATGGTATCTCTGATATACATGCAACATGTACAGAGCCGTGCATCTACAAATAATCAACCAAACACAGTTGGGCTAAAGTTTAACAAAATGACTTTAAATGTTCACATGAATACTCAAAACATCTGAACACTTGCTTTTATGTGCCCGTGTAAATCTAATTATAATCAATCTCCTACCTAGTGGACACCCCCTTGGTGTGAAAATGATGCTTCTTTATTTTATGTTAAAAACTTATAATAGAGATCAAAGTTGATTCCAAAATTGACTACTGAGTAAACAAAGCTCACGAACAGGTCTAAACAAGTAACTGCAACCCAGAAGGATGGAACGAGAATGAACTAATCAATACAGATATCTATATATTATGGAATCAAGAGAAGAAGTCAAGATATCCAATGATAATCAAACTCAGATAAGATAAGCTGAGAACAGAGACCAGTTTGTTTTATAGAAAAGCATCAAACAAAGCCACAGTACAAGTCTTACAAGCTCAATGCAGACCCAAGTTTCAATAAAATACGAAGCCACATTGAGCAAGCTACGCCCAATCATTCTGGCATGTTCACACAAATGCAACTTCCTTTGCTAATATCCAAAACTTAGATCAAGAAACTTCCCATTTTTTAGAGTTGAAAACCGGAATTTCTCTAAACACATCAACAAGTTACCATCTTTAGGCGTCGAATAGATCAATAACTTAGATATTCAACAATAAACACTTAGAGATTCAACAATAAATAGCAATAAAGAGAATAGTCACATACCTAAATGATGCTTAGTCCTCTCCAACAGAGATTTCCTATACCTCGCGAGAACTCCCGCCATATACGCCTCCCTCTCGCCGGTGACCTCGTCGTCGTCCTCCGGCTCGCTAATCTCAAAGCACGACGTGTGCACATTTCGCCCTAGAACGATCTGCCGACTCTTGCCGCCGCCGCCGCGGCCACCGTCCGATTCTCCGTTCAGATCCAACGGCATCGCCTTCGGATCGATCTCCTCCGGCAAAGGCTCCGCGTTTTGGATCAGATCCATCGACGATCCGTTCAAGCTCCCAACCATCGCTGAGATCGTTAAGAGTTTAACAATGAGATGCCCCTAATTCCACGCAGGAGTTCTCGAGCGGCGAGATCGGAGGCTAGGGTTTCAGATACGAAATGGTCAGAATCAGATCGAGGCGAGATGTAAATTATCGAAAAATTAGGGTACAATGTCAGAAAAATTACCTGAGAGAGAGAATTTAGGCGGCGGGAACGTGGGCGAGAGAGGACGGAGCTCAGCGCAGGAAGAGCACGGTCATAAAGTAGATGCGGGTACGGAAAGTAACGGGTTGGGTTTAGATCCGTACCCGGATCCGTAAGTATTGAAAACGAAAAGAAATATCCTAAAAAAGAAGTTTTACCCCTTGCAATTTACCCCAGAAAGGGTTTTGGCCGGTGGGAAGAGAGCATAAATTGAAACTTGAAGATAGAGTAAACTAAAGTAACGAGAGATGCCTATTTGTTTGGGAAGGGGGATCATAGTTAAAATTGCAGTAGTCAAATATATTGAAAAAGATAAAGATAAGAGGGTTATTTATTTGCAAAAATACCCTCGAATCTTAGCATTCATAAAGCTACCACTCAAATATCAAATTTGTGAAAAAAATACCCTTAAAATCAATAAATCATCAAGTTGGTGCTAAAATTTTAACTATTTTGTTGATAACTTTTGTATTACGATCATAAATTAGCTTATCAAAGTTGATGACTAATTGCTTTAAGGGTAATTTTTTTCTAAAATTATTGATTTGAGGGGTAGTCTTTTAAATACTGGGATTCAAAGGTATTTTAATAAATACCCATAATTTAAGGAGTATACATACAAATAACCCAAAATAATATTGGTAGATTTGTATAAACCCGGGTGTCTCTCGGTGTTTTTGTAAAGTTTGTTGTGCAGTATTATATCTTATTCATCTTCACCATCCAAAAAATAAGAAAAATTCTTCAAGAAACAAATATATGGGACCAACAGGGGGACATATGAGGTGTCCCCCTCCTATTACATAACCAGCTCTTTATGTAATAGTAGGGGACATATTTTATTTGTTGGTTAGTCACTTGAATAAAAATGGAACTGTATATGTAAATATTTAGGTGGGTACTGTACTTTCTGATGCCTTAATAGTTTTAAAATAAAAAAATAAAAAAGAAAAATTTGGCGCGGGTCGGGTGCGGGCGGATAAATACGTTTTAGGCTTCCGCAAGAGAATTGATTTCTACGGGGACAAGAAGAAAAAGCGACCCAGACGTGGCTCGTGTACTTTGGTCCTGTTGTTGTGGGTCCCACCAATGTGCTGGCATCTCCCTGGCCCCACGCGTCTTGGGGATGACTGTACTCCGCGAGTCATAGAACCTCTAGAGGGTACCCGAAGTTTCAAACCGGACCCACGTGTCAACGTTGCTGGTCCCCCGTGTTTCGAATAATGTCGGGGTCCCCATAATTTTTTTAAACTATTATTTTATGCATTGATATTTTCAGTTTCCTGGTATAACCAGGCATTCTCTCGGATTGGGATCCTCTACTAAGTGTCTTCTAATATCTCCTAATGAATCTTCACCTTTCTTTTTATGCATAAACATAAAATACGAGGAGATACTATACAATGAAAGGTGGAGATGCATTAGGAGATATTAGGAGGCAATATGCCTTATATAGTAGAGGATCTCAATCTCATTCTCTCAGCACTCACCCTATTAAGATTAAGTTCAATAATTGTTATATTAGTAATATGTCATTTTGTGTTCTCTTTCTTTCTCGTGCAATCCTCGTGCATCGCACAGGTTGAAAGCTGGCAGGCCTTGTATCGGATAGCGTTCCCTTTTGATAGGTCGCAGGTTGGGGTGCATTCGCTCCGGATACGGTTCGGATATAATGTCTATCATATTCATATCCGTTTACTTATCTCGGATATGGATACGATACGGATAAAGATATATACCTCGGTAAGAAAAATTCATATCCATATCCGTTAAAATCAGATACGGTGACGGATATACGTGCAGATATATAAACAGATATGCATGCAAATACAAAACGGATATGAGAAAACTAGATAGTGTTGAGAAAAACATAGTTCATGTGATACGAAAGAGTTCGTTAATATGTTCATTATAACTGGAAAGTTAAGAGTAGACATCTTAATCATCAAAATTAACCACAAATCCATAATCTAAGAATCGAAACTATCGTAAGAGTATGACTAATATGTATTCGGATATTTCGGATACGGATACAAATATTTCACTCTAAAACCATATCTGTAACCATATACTATCGGTTATAGATTTGAGTAACCATATCCGTATCCTAACGGATACCGATAAGATTGTTTGGTATTCTTTTCTTAATGCCCTCCCTCATCAATCACATCTAAAGTTTATTCTTTTCTTCACGCACCGGTAATCATTTGTATTTGCATGTTTCACATGGGAAACAGATTTATACCAAACAATAATGACAATCTTATCATTAGACAAAATATATAATCTTGTCGGGATCAGTTTTCGCGTTCCTTCATTTTCATCAACAGAATATTGACCGTTGGGGTACTTGAAGGAGCGAGTGTGGCCTGCTAAACTAAAATTTTGCCTCGAAAATGCATGCTTGATATTAATTTCAAAACTCTTTACACGTGCAAAATGAAAAGTTTTCCATGATCTTTTGGTTTTTAGGGGATGTTTGGTTCGTTTCTTAGATATAGGAAAATGTATTTTCACATACAAAAACACAAGTTAAAGACGAAGCGAGACCAGAATTAAAGAATGTCGACTTACCATTTTATTTTTCTTTGCAGCCCATTTGGAAATTCGTTTTGGGCTCGTGAGTCGTAGAGATTCTATTATAAGGCTAGATTTCATGAAACAAACGACCTTGAACTCCGAGTTTCCATGAAATTTCTAACCCCCCCAGTTAATTCCTTTTGTTTTTTAGGGCTAAATATCACTTATGTACCCTCATAGGTTCACTTTTTAGCACTTGATATACCCTCCCTTGTATTTTGTAATATTTATATATACTAAGTTGCTCAAAATTGGCACGTCAATACCCTATATTATCCAATAATGAAATTTTTTATCCAAAAGTTCCCATATAACATCCATATGTTAAAGTTAGAGTTTTTTTTACTAACTATATTTACTAAATTGCTATTAAACCTAGCCAAATTCTAACTAAACGTGTCCTAAATTTATTTTAAAAATGGAAGTTGGAAAGATTTAACAATGGATTCAACAAACTTAATAGATATAAAGATATAAAATTAGTATATGAATGTTATATGAGAGCTTCTAGATAAAAAAAAATCACATTCATAAATTAGTAGTTTTTAACGTGCTAATTTTTAAACAACTCAGGGGTCTATAAAAATGCTATGAAATATAACCAAGGGTTTGTAAGTTTGAACGGACTGAAACTATAAGGGGTTTGTTTGTTTGCACGAAAGTAATTATGGAGTAGCATAAAGTAAAGAAAATAAAGGCTACTTTAGCTACTTTAGAGCAATAAACATATTTGTTTCTCTGAAAAACCTACTCTTTGCACTTCCTTAAATGCTGATGTGGCGCTTATGTGTCATCCATACTTCTTAAATATTTTTCTGCCCTTAAGGCTCAGAAATGGCCAAGAAGTAAGTAAAATATGCATTAAATAAGAATAAATAAATTTTTATTAATATATTTCTTATTTTGTTACTTTCTAACAACTTTTCATTGTAAAAAAATAAAAGCTAATAACTAATAACAAGTACTATTTCCACTCCTTCGAAAAATACTTGAAATAAACAACAAAAGGTATCACTTCAAGTACTTCTATTTCATATTTTAGTGCTATTTCGCTAATTAGAACAGTTACCACACTATCCGATAAATGGGCCAAGTCAAAAAAGCCAACGTTCCAAACCGAGTGGGCTGGGTCAGGCTCGTCCAGCCCAGTGTCGCACCAGTCCAATCCAGTCCGCTTTCAAAAAACAAACGCCAATTTTAATAGTACCAACTCACACGCTTGCCAGCTCAGATCACGCGCTCGTCCAAAGGGTCGCCGACACCACCACCACCAACAACAAAGATGAAATTTTCAAAATAAGCCCAAACCAAGCTTTTTTTTAAAAATCGACCCCTTCAGTTTTTATTACAGAAATCGATCCATTTTTTTAGTACGTCAATATCGTGGTCAGAAAGTGGATCGTTTTTTTTAACTTGTTTCTAATTAGTCGGGGTTGGCAACCCCGACTATTTTTAACTCTATAGGGAATTTGCCAGGTAAATTTATCGGGGTTCAAAACCCCGACTAATTTAGCACATGTTTACGACCATTTGAACTGATTATGAAATCGATCAAAGTTGTCCAAGCCATGTTCTCAAACAACCAGACCAGCTTCTCCGAGAAGCTGCCGACGCTCAAGTGGCCATCACGCTTCCACCTTTCTTCATCAATCCACACTCACAATAAACCAAATTAAAAGAAAAGAAAGGGAAAAAAGAGAAAATCTTCACTCTCTAATGTCCTACTCCTTCTCAGCGTAATGGTGACGACGCCTTCAGCCTTCGAATCGTCACTCTCGATTACTACATGTCGCCGTCGTTCCCCGATCTGAGTCCGGTGAGCTTGAGGCCAAGGCGGTCAGTGCCGGTGAGCTCGAGATCAGCTAAGGAATCGAATCTGAGTCCGAGATCAGAGTCGTTGAGCGACTGATCGAGGTAGGCGATGACTCGATCGCCGGCGAGTTTGCGGCGGAGGTGATCAGTGACGTGGAAGGCATCCATGAACCATCGGCCGTCGGAGGAGATGTACGCTTTGCGGATCCAGAGGTTGAGATCCGATAAGACCCGAACCGCTTCGAGGTGGAGCCCTTGCTTTCGAGTGTTGTCGACTTTTACGATCGTCGCCGTCGAGCACGCCGCATTGTCGACCACCACTCTGCAACCAACAAAAATCCAACTAAATAAAAAAAGTTTGGTAAAAAAATGGTCGGGGTTCCCAACCCCGACTAATTAGAAACATGTTTAAAAAAAATTGACTCACTTTTTGGTCACGGTGCTGACGTAGTTAGGAATATGATCGATTTTTGTAATAAAATTTGAAGGGAGCGATTTTATTTTTTAAAAAAAAGTTTAGGTTGGGGCTATTTTGAAAATTTCTATCCAACAGCGCAATGGCAACTCCGGTAAATGCCTTTCCACCACCGCCAGACCCCCCGCAGTCTCCTCCCACGCGAGTCCCTCCCCGAAAAATGCCGCTCCTCGAATCCGTCGTGCCTCCTCGGTTCGCGAGTGCGTCCCGACCGCCATGGTAACTCCGATACTTCTCTCCTACCGCCGCCGCTGCCGCCAGCTCGGAGCTGCCCCGTATCCAGATCCTCCAGTCGAGCTAAATTTGTCGTTTTTGTGCCCATCGCACAAGATTTTCCCGTCCTCTGCCCAATCCGCCAGGCCCATCCTGCTGCCGCTCCGTCTGCCGCTCGTTCCGCGAATCCTGATCTCGCCGCCCCGCCACGCCTCCCCACCTGCGCCTCCCTCGCCTCATCGCACGTCCACCGCACTCTTAACCCTCACACCCCCGGATCAGCTCACAGCCGCCTTCGACCGCGGGGCACTCGGCAAGTACATTTTTCAGCTTCCGCCTCTCACTTTCCTCTGATTTCGGGCTTACTTCCCTCTCCCTATCCGATCACTTTCCTGCAATCTCTGCTCTAGACCTCTTGGGCGATTCGGCCCAGCCGCCGCCAGGTCGAAACTCGGTGACGCAGAAGAGTCCCTAAGTCTCTGATCTGTGCAACCCGCTGGACCAGGTCGCTTCAAGAGTCTTACCTCAGCTTCGGGAATAAAAAAAAAATCCGCTTGTCCCCGGCACGGACCTGTCACTGCTATTGTGGGGGCCGGCGGCGGTCTCCGTGCTCTGTGCTCACGCGAGCTCGCGTCGCGCTGTATCTTATCTTCGGCCGGCCGTCGAGGGGGGGAGCGGCTGGATGAAGGTAGCTTCGCTTGATATCTGCTTCGTCGAAGCCGATGGAGCCGGTGCTGGTGCGGGACTCGAATATTCAAGCGCTGTGCGACGTGGGGTCGCCGTGGAGGAGCCAGTGGAAGCTGTTTTGGCGGCAGGGCGAAGGAGCTGAAAAGGGAGGGAGAGGGTGGGTGCAGGTGGAGAGGAGCGAGTGGGGGACGTGTTTGAATGTGCTAAGCGGCCGAGGTTGTGAGGGGAGGGCGGAGAAGGATGAGGTCTGAATGGTTGGGGGTTGAGGTCGAAGCTTTTGCGGTGGATCTCGTACGTGCTCGACGTCTTGATTTTGAGGTTAAGTCTGGAGAGGAATGGAGTGGGATGAGGCGGGGGAGCCGACAGAGAATGTAGCAGAGTGGCTTTGCGAGTGGGGGAGGGGGAGGGCCAGGGTGGAGGGGGGACGGGGAATAACAAGGTGAAGGTGTTTGGAGGGGAGGGGAGGGTTTGGTTTTCGGGGAAGAGGGTGAAAGGGAAGATGGCAATGTGGGAGGAGGAAGGAGGGGAAGAGGAGGAAGAGGAAGGTGAACTCGGAGGGAAGTGGAGGTGGGTGGAGGGTGTTCCGGGCTATGGGGAGGGGGTTTATCGGGGGTTTGTGTATAATGCTGGGCTTACTGAAATTCCTTGATGAATTTGGCGTGTCGGGTGAGTTTATTCTTATTTGCTTTTATTAACTATAGGAAATAACGCATGTGTCTTGAGTTCCATTCCAATATCAACTTGATGGTTAATGCTTTAGATTTTCATGAGTATGATTAATTGCAGCTTTACTTTGTAGTCCATCATTTCTTAAGCATACTTAGTTATTGCCAAAGTGGTAGTTCTAATTGTCAAATAGATGCGGTGCTATGGCTCCCCCTTACATGTATGTGCTCTCAATTGCATTTGTGCGTCGAGTTGGATGACTAATTTATAGAATGAAATTTTGGATGACTAAGTTATTGCCAAAGTGGGAGTTTTAAGATACTTGGCATTCAATTTACCCACATAAATAATTGTCCAATAGCTTGACTTTTAAGCAAGGGTGCAATCAGTCCAGATACAAATATCCATAGGGATATACTTCTGTATGGAAAATTCATATCCATATCAGCTAAAATTAGATACATCTACAAATATACACGCGGATATATAAGCTAATATGCACACAAATACAAAATAGATATGAGAAACCTAGATAATATTTAAAAATATATATAGTTCATGTGATACGAAAGAGTCCATTAGTTCATGTGATACGAAAGAGTCCATTACTATGTTCGTTATGTCTAGAAAGCTAAGATTAGACATCTTGATCATCAAAATTAGCCTTAAATCCATTAATCTAAGGATTTTTTTAAACTATTGTAATAGTATAACTAATATGTATTCGGATATTTAAGATATGGGTCTAGATATTTCACTACAAAACTATATCCGTAACACATTCTGTCGGTTATAAATTTGAGTCACCATGTCCGTAATCTAGCAGATGCAGTTATGGATATTTCCTCAAATATGGATACGGTTTAGCACCCCTACATTTAAGAATATAACATTATGATAGTAGGCTTTAACGTAAGGAATTCCTTTTGGAGTATTGGCTTCAAGCTTTTTAATCACTTATCCATCTTTTGCTCTGCAATGTGGCATGAATCCCATCATTATGCATCTTGATCTATTAAACAGACTTGAAGCCGAGTTGAGGCAACACACTTCATAATTAGTCCCCAGCCTTTTTGTATCCTGTCTAAGCTCGTGTTTTGGCAATAAGAGCATGGTTGTTTAGGAAGTATGATAGGCCAAAGCTACCCTTGGTCGTCATGGTTAATCATTAGGTCTTAAGTTTTAGTGATATCGATGACACATCCTTGCTCTCTACTCCTATTGGAAGAAAAACTTCAACTCCAATAATCTTGTTTTCCAATTTTAACTTGGATGCTTGTGTCACATGCACAGAGAAACCCAAACCCAAAATGATGCATGCAAAGGTAATAAAAGGATGATGGATGATCAATGCATAAATGACAAAAAAAAGGATATGTAACCATAGCAATCAAATAAACATAGATAAATTCTAAAGTGACGCCTCGTTTTGTACGCAGGAACCGACTCGAGTGAGAATCAAATGGAGGAAGGAATGAAATGGAATACATGTGGGAATGGACTCATTCTCATGTTTGGGTACGACTAGAAAATGAAGTGGGAATGACAATCTCATTCTTACTCTCATGTTTGGAATCACTTGTTCACAAGCGAGAATAAAATTTTGATGTCAACAACATAGAATTTTTAAAATATAAAAATAATAATAATGGCTAAATAGTTATTTTTAAAAAGAAGTTTTATGAAAATAATTGTCTCGTTTATCCGTAAGGAATGCTGGAATATATCATTGCATAACTTTATGCTAGTGAAGATAAGGGTGCCTTATTATTTTAGCATTGTATGTAGTCTGAATATGTGAAATTCTATTGAGAGGATGTCTTGCACAAGTTTCTTTGTTTCATGGTTTGTTGATATCAATAGAAAGAAAATAAAATTGACTAGCATGTGTAACTACAAAGCGAAACAATGCAAAAACACAAATATTAAATATTATGAAAATTGTCGATTGAAGCCACATATTAAATATAATAAAATCACATACTGTTAATAGTTATCAGCTAGGATTGAAGCCACAAATCTATATTTTGATAATATAAATCCCTCAAATAGTTAATCACGATCAGATTAATGGAAAAATAAGTAAAGATGAGGCTTGACAAAGTTTTGCCTCTGTCGCGAGAACAATGATGAACTAGATGAACTAGGGTTGGGTTGAAGTTGAACAAGAGAAGCAAAATTTTCAATATTTTTAAGATATCAAATCTATTCATCTCTTTTAAATTGGTATATTTGGAATTACGTTTTTTTTTTTAAATTCCCACTTAACTAGAAATGCTCATTCCTTAAATAACTCAATGGGAATGCTCATTCCCACTAAGTTTGGAAATGGATGAGAAGCGGGAATGAACATTTTATGTTCCAAAAGTATGCTATGTTTGGTACCCATGAATGAATGAGAAGTGAGGATGGACATTCCATTCTTACTCATTCCTGCAGATACCAAATAAGGCCTAAGAGTCTTTATGCATGCATCAAGCAAAGTATTCTATAGTAATAATGATTAAACTACAATGTAATGTAAGGCACAATGAGATTTTAGGGAGAATTGCTATTTAACAATGAAAATGTAAACTCTACACATCTTCACATTCGACTAAGGAGTAAAGTTTGGATCTAAAGGTTCATTACGAATATACGTCCGAGGTAAGAAAACATAGTGCACAATTAGAACTTCTTGTTGCTTTGATCATCTTGATCTTTTGCTTGGTGTATTCAAAGGATAGGTCATACCTTGAATTTTTTAGGAGAGCCATAAGAAAAGAAGACTTCAGAAGAGAGTTGGTAAATTAGTCCGGTATAGAGCTTAACTATGTTTGAGGGTTGCCTTACACGCTGAGAGGAGTTTTCCTGCTAACTGGAAGAGATGAGAGGTATTTCATAGAGAAATAGGTTGTTTTCGTAAAATTTAACCTTCTGTCAAGCAAACCAAGTAAACATGGGGTGATGCTTTTTGCATCAATAATGAAGAGTTTAAATTAAGACAGTAATCACTGTGGAAGAATACTTATAAAGAGTTTTTTTTTTTTTTTTTTAGAAAGTAAATAAGTGACAGCTGAAAATACAGCTGTGTGATAACTAGCATGAGATTAAAATTGCCAATCTCTTAATTCCTTTGCCTTTTACCCATTTATAAAGCACCAATTTCTTCAATGAAGCAGCATAAATTATGATATGTGGGTTTTTTAAAGTAGATTCTTCATACCGAACCTTTTTTCCATCTTCTAATTCATGCTCTTTTATCTTCTTAAAAATCTCTAATTTTGGGTCCTTCATACAATACAAAAGATCAATTCCCATGATCCAGGATTTGATATGGATCAGCCTTGAATGGATGGTCCTGAACTGTGAGTACAACTAGGCTGTCCTCTAAGAGGCCCTCCAAAAGATCGTCTCGTGAAGTACTTGTTTCACCAGTAGAGCTTATGTTCTTTGGTCACTGCTTCCAATTTTATGCTCTTTTATGAGCTCAGTTTAGTCCTTCCATAAACTGTATCCAAATATCACTGATTCGTACCAACAATAGCAGCAGAAGCAGGAACAGCAGAAACTTTATTCCAAACTTTTGAGATTAATTACATGAATACACTCTTCCATTTGTTTATCTTAAGGTTATCTCCTCCATTAAATTAACCGCTTTATAATATCCTTATCAGTTGCTTCCCACCAATTATTCTTAGGTTTACCTCTAGTTCTCTTGCTCTGTTGATTCTGATTTTATCAACTCTCCTAACTGGTACACTTAATCGCCTATGTTGCCTTGGTTGAACCATCTCAACCGATTCTTTCTTATTTTATCCTTAGCAGGAGCGACCTCTTACTTTCTATGGATGCGCTCATTACTTATCGTATTTCTTAGTGTATATCTACTTGTCCATCATGGCATTTTCGTTATGTTATAGATACGACAAGATGTGAGTATGCAGATACTCATGGCACAACAGTAACTCTTGAAAAGAGCATAGAATATGGAAATCAAGAAATATCTAATATCTTCAATTCATGTAAACTATCATTTGTTAAGAATCCTTATTAAGGAACAAGAAAAATTATAACAATGCATTGTAACTACAAGTCAAATATTGTTTGTCTTTCTTTGCCTTTGGGTTGCAGGTTTTGACTATGCATGAATTGTTTTCCCATTTTCACCTTTTAGACCTTGCTAGATGTGTTTCCGAGCTGTTTTTTTTTTTTGGGGGGGGGTGTGGGGTGGGGTGGGGGGTGTCCATTTTTTGCGGTTAGCTATCTTTCCCCGAGTGCAATGGTTGTATCATGTAGTTATGTCTAATTGCAACTTCCATAATATCCCACATCTCATTCCATAAATGTATTAGGATGAATATCAGTACTCTCGTGTCCCTTTCTGTATTTGGGATTCTACCTCTAATTTCCATTGAAAATGGATTGTCATGGTATGGACTCTATTAATATTTTGAGATCTCTTGTTTGAGCTTGTGAGTTAAATGGTGAGTTCAATTTTGTTAAGTGCTTTACCTTCTCTTGAGTATAAGAATTTGTTGAGGACTTAAACTGTTTATTGGACATAACATGGGTGGCAGATGGCAGAGCTTGCCCTGTAAATATATAGGATTATCGTAGGTGCACTGAAGCATTTCTTCTCTTTGAACTGATTTTGTCAATTCAACGATTTTGGTAATATACTAGCAACAACTACAAAGTTTTTGGCACTATGAGTACAATTTATGAAATGAGTTATTGTCAGGCTTAATTGCACGCCCTATAGTTTCCCCTACGTTGCACTGTATACCCTCACTTGTTTTTGGCAACAATTATATACCTTAATGGTTTTTAAACTTTCACTTATATACCCTCACTTGTTTTTGGCAACACTTATATAGCCTAAAGTTTTTAAAACTTGCACTTAAATACCCTATAGTTTTTAAAACTTGCACTTAAATACCCTAAAGTTTTAAAAACTCGCACTTAAATACCCATCACAAATTTTAGCATGTTTGTCAGTTTGATACAAGTTAAAGAGAACAACCGTGAATTTTTGAAGCTCTAGAATCTAGAAGACATAGACTTTATTCCTGTTATTTATCATATCGGACCAACCTGACTGGTGACTGCAATATATTCTTGATCTTCTATGATATTATGTTATCAATGGGAAATTTCAGTTGTTTTATGTCGAAGTGTGAAAAATGCAAGCCTGATATGCTTTTTCATAATGTCTGAGAGCACAGTACCTTGCCATGTACAGATATGTTGGGTTGTGAGAATTAGTAATTACTCTCTAATGAGTAGATATAGTTCAAGGACTGGAATTTATCAAGGACCGGAGTACTGAATAACCCAGTTACTTCATTGAACTGAGTTACTTCATGAACGTAACACCAGCGTCATTGGCACCAATTCTCCGATTGGATTTATACCAACTGGATCAAGTCTCTCTAGTGTCTGGGAGAAATCTAAGCATCTTTACCTACTTAAATGGTGTTACGTTCCTTGAGCTGCTTTATGCACTTGTAGAAGCTCATTTATCGTTCTTCTCTTGGTGCATGTATTCATAAGTTACTCTTTATTTGAAACTGGTTGACATGGTTCCAGAAAACTTTTTTATCTACTTTCACTGTTTAGCTATCTAAAATATCCATTTGATTTCTTTTCTTTTCTTTTTCTATTTGATCAGATTGTGTGGCACTAGGAAAGAGGGGGCCGATAAAAGAGCATCTATCTATCTATCTGAACTATAGCTCTAGCTGCTTCGTGGATATCATCAATGCATAATTCTGCTGCTAGCAAAGAATCATCATAGGATTTATTGGATTGGGTCACTGACTATATTAGAAGATGTTGCTTCTGAGTTGATTGCGCGTTGATTTCACCGAAAGCCATGTTTCTGCGAGTTATGAATATATGTGATTGATTTTGAAGTTCCATTTAGTGTGTGTTACTTTGTGAATCATTATGATGAAAATATTGTGCATAAAATGCTCAATTACGCAGCTGAGTAAAATTGTAGTACTATCAACCAAAATGTAATTGGTAACGCGCAACGCTGTTTTTTACTCTCTCTAAACGCATATTTCCTTCTGTGTTTTCCCCCATCTATGTGAGGTTTTCTTTATGGTTTAATCCTATTTCCTATTTCGGTGGTGTTTGGATATTAAAAATAGGGTTTTTTTTAGGATTTTGTTAAATTCAGAATTCTTCAAATTCTGAATTTTTTTTGTTTCTTTGGCTGGATTGGAAGTTGGATGGGAATGTATGGTACATTTTTCTCTTTTTCTGCAAAATCTTTGCTAAGATGAGTAATTCTAGCAAAGCATTTTGGACCTCGGTGCCGTCTCCATGACTCCGTTCTTTGGTTCAGATTTGCTTCTTCACTGAAGCAATAATTTCGTGATATTCTTTTCTTTAGACCAGTTGCTCTTTTTCTTTTGGTGGCCGACATAGCTTGTTCTCCATTTAAACTCCGTTTTTGCTTAGGGCCCGTTTGGATGGGGTATTTTGCCCCGAAAATTAGGAGGAAAGCTACCAAATGACAGCTTTCCTCTAAAATCACCTCTTTAAAGCTGCCAAAAAACTACCATTTTGATAGTTTTTCTTCCAATTTTCGGGGCAAAATACTCCATTCAAACGGGCCCTTAACCATTTGATTAGTTCCATCCACATTGGACCAACTAACATATCACATATCTATTCTTTTATTCAGATTCTCATCTTCATCCATATATTATTCATCGTCAAATGCTAAACTTCCTGTTCTATGCCGTACAGAATCTTATCACTAGTTAGATTCCCCTCGTCGGAATCTTTACAAACTAGAAGAATCGAGAGCTAGAACTTGTTGCTGGAACTGAGGTTGTTTAAAATCTCAAACTCGAGCTCCATGATGCTGATCGCCTCTAGAAAGTCAAATATAGTTGGCATTATGATAAGGTTTTTATCATTTTTGGATCATTATTTTCGCCCGATTGCGATGCTCACCTTCTGACCTGCTCCGTTATTTTAGCATCGTAGGGGATGTGTTACGTAGTTCTGAACTTGTTTTATTTTTATTTATTTTTTTATGTTTAATTGTGAAGTCAATGAAACTGACGCCATGATGAAGATATGTAGTCAAGTAATTTATATCTACTGGGGATGAAAATGTAAATGACTAAATGTTCTTTGGACAAATTTTCAAAACCGACCCATTTAGACTTTTATTCCCAAAAAACGTCCCCATTCAAAAAAAATTACAAAAAACGACCTGGTTTCAGCCTCATCGCTGAAACCAGGTTGGTTTTTGAAATTTTTTTTTCAAAACTTCACAGGGGTTGAACTCCCGTGAAGTTTAGTAGATCTGCTAAACTTTACGGGAGTTGAAGTTTTGGATTTTTTTTTTTCCAAAAACCGACCTGGTTTCAGCGCTAAGGTTGAAACCATGTCGGTTTTTGCAATTTTGTTTGAATGAAGTCGTTTTTTAGGATTAAGTTCAGGAATAGGTCGGTTTTGAAAATTTGTTCAATGTTCTTTTTATTTGTTGGCCTGCTGTTAATGCAGCTCGCGGACTTATTTTCTTACTGTTGTCTTTCTCTTCCCGATTTGTTAATGAATTCGCTAATCCTCTGCTTGCCATCTGGGCCAACTTTAACATCAGGTAAATTACACAGAAGGACCCGCAGGAGCTTTAGCATTTTGCATTAAACCCCCCAACATCTTTCAAAATCGCACTGAACCTCCACCAAGCTTATATAGAATTGCTGAAAACCCCCAATAAGTTTCCACATTTTGCAGATAACCTAACCCTATAAGTTTAGAACCAAAAAACCAACCCAAAAATGCGTTTTCAAAAGTATTGGGGATTTGGTTAGTGTGATTTTTGCAAAAGCCATTGGGGTGTAGCGTGAGTTTGAAAGTTAATTGCGTATAGACCCATGAGGATTTGAAGATGAATGAGCTGCTCAAAAGATTCCTAATGTTTATTAATTCGATATATTTTTTTCTCACATGAATTGATGGGGATCAGGGGACCAGCTAACGTGTTCCTAAAGACAAGCTGGCGTCAATAACCCAACAAATTCTCTCTCAATGATTTTGACAATGAGAGCGATGGCACAACAATTTCCCTCATTCAACACCTCAAAATTTTTTTTCCCCTCGCTAGAATTAGGTGCAAAACTACAAAAAAAAAAAATAACGAATCTTGCGTGTCGATTTTATATTTCATCGCTTATTATCGGCTACGAACTAGGCCTGCGATCGTCTCGTCGCCGGCGAGACCGTAACTTATCCGGTGTCTCTAACGCTTGAAGGTTGTATTAGGAGTTATATTTCATTCCGTAAACATATTTTAAGAGGAACAAACTCATCATTTTTAAGGGTTGCAATTGTATAAACAGGACGTAGAGATAATTCCAATGTTGAACTTAATTAACTTTGTATTGCTATCCTTAATGATAACCCGCATAAAGTGATCAATCAATTTGGGTTAATGAGTATTTAAATGTGTCCTGGGTTAAATGTACAGATATCAGGTTGTATTTATAATTTAATGAGGGGCCAAATTATAAAGGTACAACACCTATATATATATATATATATATATATGGGGTTATGGTCTCTAATCTAGGGTTAACACACTCAATTCTCTTACCCCCATTTAAAGAGATACTAAATGAGAAACCCTAAGATTAGAAGATCATCAAAACCCTAATTCAGATTCTCTATGGATTCAGGTATAGCTTCCGCTCTTATTGTTTAATCTCTACGATTTAATCACGATAAAGTACAACATATATACCAAGTGTTAATCATTCCATCTAGTAAATTTCTATGAAAGAAATGAAACATATAGCATCTTTTGGTTGGTCATTAATTCTTACTATGAGATGAATTATCAACTCATGCGCTCGTGATCAGCATCAAATAACGACGGTTAATTGCGCTATAATGTTTCAATATTCGTAATAAGATTTCACAAACAAAACAAAAAAACGGAAAATGAGAGAACCAATGAAGCACAAACAAATTTTCGACAATTTAATGTTGGCATAGAAAACAATTTGCACTAATTTGATCAAAATGAGACAAATGGCTTGAATTTAACGTGAGCCATCAAATTGTATGACTTTATTGAACCACATCGAAGACATCAGCAAAATAGATGTTGGGTGCATATGCTGGTATATACCCAAGTAGGTGTTTAGCTAATTAAAGAGTATAATAAGAACAGTAATATTGTTATCTCTAAACTAATTTAAGGTCTAATTTACTAATTTGGGCATGGGCTTGATCCTTATTTGCAGCGTCATCACTCTAATTGTTTCATTATGAAAATAAAATAAATTATATACCTCATCGCTATTTGTCAGAACTATACGCGAACAAATACGGCCGATTATATATCATGCGTCACACTTACGGTATCATTTCTTGCGTACTAACTCAGTTTGTCAATATCATTAAGAAAGTCTTGGTCTAGATTGAATAATGCTTTAGATGCATGAGATATATAAATTTCAAAAACTGAAGAAATCCTGAAGTATATATGGGGGTGCATTATTTTTTTCCATCTGTGGTGGTACTTGTTAAATATAGTTATTAGGCATATTGTATCTCTTTCTTTTAGTCCCACGTTGCTTACGATACTAAACATATTCTCCTGCTCTTGTGTATAAACACTTCAGTGCAATGAATAATAATTGTTTCTTGTCTCCCAAAAGCTCTATTCTTATCATGGTATCAAAGCCGTCCTCTTGATTCCAGAGTGACTTTTTCTTTTTCCTCTATATCGAGCCATGAAGGGGGTTTTGTTGTAAACTTTGTGCTTCCCCTCGGTGTCCTCGATACCAGATTCAACCTTGACGCACCGTCCCATCGCTCACAACCTCCACTCACAGTAAAACTCTAGCCCTAACCTCGCCGCTTGGCATAACAACACTGTTCATCTGTGTGTTAACTGTTCATATGCGGAAACTTTCTGCTTATAGCAAAACCCTAGTCCTAACCTTGCCGCTTGGCATAACAACATTGTTTATCTGTGGGTTACTGTTCATCTGCAGAAACTTCTGCTTATAGCAAAACCCTAGTCCTAACCTCGCCACAACGAGTATCATTGTCATAGGAGTGGATTTCCTCCTTGAAAATGATGTGGCACAATCTCCATCATGTGATATTCTCTCTTCTACTTTATTCACATGGTGGGGATCGTGTCACATCATTTTCAAAGAGGAAATCCTCTCCTTGACATATATAGAACACTCATTAATCTCATATATATATATATATATATATATATATATATATAAATTAAACAACACATAAAATAAAACATCAACGTATATATACACAATTGAAACTGCAGCTTCCTAATGAAGATTAAATTTATAGTTACCAAAATACCACGGTGGCACTGATCCGTGTACTTCCAAACCAATTGCTATTATTTAAGGCAATCAGCCCGTGTCATTACAACACATAAAAGTAAACAAATAATTCTAAACAAATACATCAATAAACAAACTGTTTATATACTTCAAACTTCTCTCGACCAATAGCGTCTCTTTTCTCACCGTCGCCAAACTATAAAAGACCTCAAACCCCCTCCCATCTTCTCTCCAAACAAAAAAAATGGAAACAGACCCATATCTCCAACCAATCTCCTCAACCCCTTTAGATTATTACCAATGTGACCCCCTCTTCTCAACAAATTACAATGATGCCATGCCCCATGATGATGCCTGCATGGATGACATCTTCGTCCCATCAATTCATGATGTGTCGTTGATCAATGATTCACCTCAACAACAGGAGCCGAGCATCACTGATCTGCTACTCATGAGTGCGGAAGCTATCGACTCAGAGAACGGGTCCTCGGCATCAAAATCGATTGCCCAACTTGAGCAACTTTTCTTCAACATGGAGAGTGAGCCCAGCCCATTTATGAGGCTGGCCCAACTGTTCACTATGGGCCTCCGATCACGGGCGTCCGGAAACCAACCCATCGGGCCGCCGCCCCAAGTGCCACCTTCGACCGTTCATGAAGGCATGTCAGCATACCAAATGGTGCAAGAGCTCACCCCGTTCGTCAAATTCGCACATTTCTCTGCCAACCAGGCGATTCTCGAGGCCACCGACAGTGATCTTGATGTTCACATCATCGATTTTGATGTGATGGACGGGATACAATGGCCACCGCTAATGGTTGACCTAGCCAACAGAAGTACTAGTGCATCACTTAGGATAACCGCAGCCGTTACGGATACGAAAATGGATATGGCTA